CCCCCCCCTCCCCCCCCCCGTCCCCCCCCCCCCCCCCGGCGGAGCGCGGGGACACGTCGGGAAACGAGGCACGACCAGAATAGAGCGATCTAGAGGGACCTAGAGCGATCCAGAGCGATCCAGAGCGCATCCAGGACAGAGAAGATCGAACGATGGAGGTTCGTTCGAGCGTCGGTCGCCTCGATTCCGGACGCGTGCCCGCGACGTACCCGCCACTCTTCGGCAATAACACGCTCCTCTGTCTGTGTTTACCTGTCCGACGTAAATGTACAGCCCGCTAAACCGATCCGATCGATACAATACGTTATACGAGATAATCGAGAGCATCAGAGCGTTTACAATTTAGAGTGCACACACCCACCCCCCCCGGATCGATCAGAGACAGAACCGGAGGCAAAACGGTTTCACGGAACGGAGTGGCAGAGAACACGTTGAATTACATGTATGTGCACAATAGGTATATATACATATACATATATATATATATATAAAAGTAATTACGTGTGTATACGTTACTTCTAAAACAAACAAACAAAAAAAAACGCCGTGTGTATCCGCAAAATGTTCGACGCTTCGCGAGGAACGTCGCTGTCCTTCGATCTCCGCAGAAAAAGCATGAAAAAAAAAGATATTGAAACATGGTTCCTTCGACAGATCTTATTGTTTTTCTAATGTTCGTTCGCCGATGTTCTTTGTAACTGATTCTCGCTCCGCCGGCCTCCCTGTACGCGTGTAACCGGGCGATCTCTCTCGTCAGGGTGCCGCGCACGGAGGTAAACGGCGCCAGTTCCGCTTGCCCGGGGACCTTTTGAGTCTGCGAGTTGCAATTAATTCTGTTCCTTGTCTTGCGACGCAATCGGTAGTTGGGACGCCGAACGGTTTAGGTGTTAAGGAGACGTTAGGGAGAGAGCTAGTTTTACCGAGAGCATCTGTCTCCGTGGAAACGAGCCGCGCCGACAGGCGTGTATAAAGAGTACGTTCGCGGATGGATAAGAGATCGCGAGGTGTTCGTCGAGAACACGAGCAAAATGCCCGGCAAGAAAGCAAGGTACAAGAAAGCCCGGGAGGGACGCTGCGACGATCGCGTTCCTCCCGGTCGCAAATTAGGGTTGCGTGGCGCGGAAGCGACTGGTCCGCCGTCTCGATCGTTAGGAATCCGATTGTTCACCGGAGAGCCGTCTACTATACGAGAACGGACCGGTCGCTCGGCAAAGCGTGCATGTAGATCGCGTCGAGTCCGGCAGAGATTTAGCGACGCGTCGGCGATCCGTCAAGCGAAAACGGTGTTATTAGGCTAATTGCGATTAAGCGGCGCTTGGCGGCTAGCAAGGGGAAATGGTGTTTTCGTTCCTATTACTTAAGAAAATTTCGAGGACGCTCTCGCGACCGTTTCCAATCCCCTATTGGAGCGGAAACGAGCGACTCCGCTGGCTGACGCGTTTTTTCCGGTTTCGACTTGTGCCGCTGCGTCTGTACCGCACTCGACGCCTCGATTAAAACGATGTATTATTTTTTACGACGTGTAACTCGCGTGTAATTTCTAAAGAAAAAGAAAAAAAACGAGAAAAAGAAAGAAAGCATGAAACAGGGAAGAAAAGTAAACGATGGAGGAGGAGGAGGAGACGCGACAAAAGACAAAGCGAGAAGGGTTAGGGTAAAATAAATACACAAATTGAGATGAACCTCGTGCTCGGATCGTTCGACCACACTGTTGTTTCATTGATTAATTGTCATCGCTGTAACGAACGAACGGCCAATTCCGTTAGGTGTACTATTTCCTCTTCCCTCGATGTAACAATAAATGTTCAATCAACGGATATGAGATCGCAGTTCTATTTTTTCTTTTTTTTTTCTTTTTTTTTACCGTAGCTGTTTTTCGTTCGATGAAATCGATCCGTTCGGCACGCCGACGTCGTGCGTACAACACGAATGACAGGGAGATCGAGATCGATAGCCGTTCCCCTTTCCGTCCATTGATTAGGGTAGCGTTGTCGAACGTGCTCGACTATCGTTTCTCTCTCGAACGCGAAACACGAGGGGAAAAAAGAGAGAAAGAGAGAGAGGGAGAGAGAGAGAGGAAAAGGTCCACGTTTGTATCGTTTCCATCGATTCTCGCGACCCAGTGATCGGACTTAACGATTGTTGCGGATGGAAATCGATGTTGGTGATAATGATGATGATGATTATGATGAAGATGACGATGACGATGATGACGACGACGACGATGATGATGCGGCAGGTTCTCGTTCTACGATCATTTCTCTGCGACGGCCGAGCCTGCGGACACGGCGATCACAATCGAATGCACAATCGCGAGCACCCGCACACCGGAAACGTTAGGCGATGCACCGAAAGTACCATTTGTAGAAGTCTGTACACAACGGCGATCCATCGATCGCGCGGCGAACGATTCGCGTGAACCGAAGACAGTTCGCTTCGACCCTCCCCTTTCGATGTATCGTTGCAATAATCGCGCGTGGCAACCCCCCTCGAAGACCGGAAGTCGGCGGAAGGGGAGACGAATCTGCGGAAGCGATAGGAAGAACGAAGCGAATCGATGACGCCCGCGATCGATCGCCGATATTGACGGCCGTACAACTGAAAAGGAGGTGCGTCGATCAGTCTCTCACTTGTCTGTCTCTCGTTACCGTTGCAATAAAATGGAAACAACAAAAAAGAACCGGAAATAAAAAGCAGAAAACCGGCTAAAGTTTCCCCCCCACCGGCCTTTTCATCCCTACGACCGTCGATACGATCAACGATGTTTCCGATTGTACTATGTAAAATCTGTTTCTCATCGTGTTGTTCTACACGCGCGCGCGCGCGCGCATACACACACACACACACACACACACGTGATCACGAAACCTTCTTTCCGTGGCCTGATTCGTTGTTAAATAATGCGCCCCGAGCCACAGGCATACACCTAGACACAATGTTCCCTCTCGCTTGGATAATATAATTATAATGAGATATAATATATATACATATACATAATTATAAATATATAAATATAATGTTTAATATAAAAGAAAGAAATGAATATTATATATATATATATTATATATATATATATACTTTCGATATGTGAACATGAAAGCAGTTCAAAGGGATGACGTGAGGAAAAACATTATGACCATTATATTTTATAAATAAAAGAAATTGATATGTGATATAGATGGTAAGGCACGCGGACGATGCGTTGCGATGCATTACGAAAGCAAATGTATTCTGTATATCGTTTCATTAAATCTATTAAAATAACCCTGTTACAATTGCTTCTCTTCTAGAAACGTCTCGCCTCCTAGAGACATATTGTAACCCCTTTTCTGCGGCTGTTCACAGACCGGAGGACTGTCAATAGTCCCGGGGGAACCCGACTGTTGTCAGGGGCACAGCCAGTTTGTATAATAACCACCTGGTGCCCCATACCTGTTCCTTTCTATCCTAAAACCGTAGGTCATCATTGTTTAGCCGTTTTCGACAAGATTTATGGTGGTGGTCGAAGGGATCTTCGTGCAAAGTTATTTACAGAACTTCAAGCTTTTCGTAATTTTCATCTTAAATCAAGACTCGTCGTTTATTTTTATGACGCGGAACCGTGAAGCACGAATTTTTACTAATTTTCTACTAAATTACATCCGAATTGCGCTAAAGTTAATTGTTTTCCATAATTGATGCTGAAATGTGACTGTTCTATTTTTTTATGTGCACCACAAGCATTCTGTTATTCCTTTAAACGAACTTCTAATCGTTAAATACCTCGTACATTAGTCAAGAATCGTCTTCCAATAAAATAACAATAATTTCTGTAGATATTTATTAAAATACGAAACAGAAAAACAGATACATCTTTAAAAACGAAGTTAAAAAAATTCACAACTGTGAGCCTGACAGAATCTTTCCCGTTATAAAATACATATTTCCGCAATGCATTATTGCAAAAATAACGTACAGAGCCAGCAGATTACATTTACATAACAATTGTACAATTATCGCAATCTACACCGGCGTTATCAAAGAAAATCCATCGACCCCTCTCGCGAAGAAAGCGACAAACATAAGATTCCTCCTCCGCGAACCGCGACACAACGATCAAATTCCTTTGAAAACATGTCCAAGGTATCGAAGACCGGATTCGAAGCGAACGTCGCGTGCGAGCGAAGCGCGCGATCGCGAATCGCATGGCAACGTGCGTGGTGCTCTCGTGCAATCAAATTCAAATTTGGTGGCATAACGGCCGCGAGGCCCGCGCAGCCGCGGCAGCGCTGTCGGCGACAAAGATGTCGCGCGCGTTGCCTGGCCGCGCATGCGGGAAAGAAGAATTTCGTGCGGCGCATTGAGAAAATAGTCCGCGCTCGAGAAAATACGACGATCGCGTCGGAGAAACTTGACACTCGTGACAGTGGTTTGACGACGTACACGGGTACTTGCAGCGGTCGTTGTACGCCGCATCGTCTGGCTTTCGGAGAAGCGGAGGAACAGAAGCTGGAAATTTCTCACGTTGGAGGAGCGGACAGGGTAGCGGTCGGTGCGTAGTAGGCGCGAGATAATCAAAGGGCGCGGATATCACTGCGCGGCACGTTGTGGAAGGAAGCAGAAACCGAGCACTGGCAGGAAGTGGGTAGAAGGGGGGTACGTCGTCGAGCCAGTTGAATCGGTGGTGGCTACATGTGGCTGTCCGCCGGTCGCGACCAAGAGACGTTTCCTATCAGGGCATAAGAGTTTACGAGAAGCAGCACACGGTAATCGTCGATAAACAGCCGCAATCATGCAGATGGACTCAATGGCGGTGCAACTGATCCAGGTCCTCGAGAGGACCGTCTCGTCAGGTGAGCACAGTTCGATCAATCGTACCTCTCCTCCACAGGCGACATCATGAGACCGAGCATACCTGTTTCCCGAACGTTCCACGTTATTTAGCCGACGTTTCATTCGGCCTGGAACGATCGTTTCAAACACGAATTCGACGATCGTTCTTTATCCCGTTCGCACGACCTTGCCTGAGAAAGTAACGTCCAGCCGCGTGCGCGTCCCTTTTGTACTCTGTCCGGTGTGCAGTACCTCGCGATCGCGTCCAGTTTAATTAGTTTCGACGGGCCGTCGGTCATTTTTTTAGCAGCCGGACGCTGGCGTTCGTTTAAGATATCGTTCGACGAGAATCTTGTTTCGAAGTCGGCCCTGCTTGGCTGTTGCTAGGTGGCTTTGTTCGCGACAGGAAAAGTATTGTCCCGCGGTGACGGTTACTCAAACTGCACGTCCCCGTTGTCGGTTGGCACGGCGCGGGTATCAATGCATCGTGCCTCTCTAACCTCTATCCTTCGTGCGAATTTCGGCAGCATGTCGGTTAGAATCGTTCTCGCTATGTAACGTCCACGATTTATGCGTATATTTCGTTCTTTCAACCTCGCGATCGAGAAATTTTTACCCGGTTTATAATTACCTAATCTTATGTATCTCTAAACTATCTTATCTCGTGCGTTCACACACTCGCTCGCTTTCACTATCTCTTAATTTATTTATCTATATATACTTTTTCGTTTCTTTTTTGCCTTTCGGTCTCGCTAACTTATTAATCCTCGTCATTTCCCTCTAATCTCTTAATAAATGCTGCACATCCATTCGCCTCTTTCAATTTTCGTTTCTTCCAATCCTAAATAATCAGGGTATTCATCTTTGGACCAAGTTCTGTCGCTTTCTGTTCCTTTTTGTTCTTCTCTCTCCTTCTTTTTCGACTATTTTCTCTTTGTTTTATCCTTGTTCAGTTCCGACTTTGTCTCGGTCAGATATTTCCCTTCGTCATAAATTTCTTCTAGACGATAGCATGATCGATATTTTGCAATTTCAGACAAAAATCAGCTGGAAGCTGCTCAAGATTTCTTGCAGCAAGCAGCACAAACTAATCTCGTAAGTTACCTATCGTAGATAGGAGCTTCTCCGTTAAGGAGCGACGGTTCTCAACAGTCTGTTCGATGTTTTTAGCATGCATTTATGCAACAACTCAGTGCCGTGCTGGTTACAGCCGCAGCAACTCCTGTTGCCCGTATGGCAGCAGGTCTGCAACTCAAAAACCAACTCACATCCAAAGACCCCCAGTTGAAGTACCAGTATCAGCAGCGCTGGTTGGCAATTCCAGTTGAAATCAGGGAATTTATTAAGAAAAATGTAAGAGGATAGTGTCTCGAATTAGCAAATTATCTGTTTTGCTAGAATGTAGACCATAAAGTATGTAATACCATGTTGGTTTATCGATAGATCTTGGGAGCTCTTGGGACAGAGAACAACAGGCCAAGTTCAGCGGCCCAATGCGTAGCATACGTCGCTGTCGCCGAGTTGCCTGTTGGTCAATGGGGTAATATAATTCAGTTACTAGTCCAGAATGTCGCTAATCCGAGCAGTACCGAAATAATGAAGGAGGCAACGCTAGAGGCCATTGGATACATTTGTCAGGAAATCGAAAGCGATGTTTTGGTACCTCAGTCTAATCAAATTCTCACAGCGATCATTCACGGCATGCAGGGATCTAGTACTTCGCATAACGTTCGTTTCGCCGCTACAAGCGCATTGTATAATTCTTTAGAATTTACCAAAGGAAATTTCGAGATAGAGGTTAGTATCTTGCGAAGCAAACTTACATTTCTTTAGGTTCGTGTTGGATGGTATCCTATAATTCCGCCGCGTTTCTCTTTACAGAGGGAGAGAAACTTTATTATGGAGGTAGTATGCGAAGCGACACAGTCGTTGAACACTCAGATCAAAGTAGCCGCTTTACAGTGTCTTGTAAAAATTATGTCTTTATATTATCAATACATGGAGCCCTACATGGCCCCGGCTCTCTTTCCTATTACTTTGGAAGCCATGAAATCGGATATCGATGAGGTCGCACTGCAAGGAATTGAGTTCTGGTCGAACGTTTCCGACGAGGAGGTCGACCTATCCATGGAGGAGGGTGAGGCATCGGATGGGGGCAGACCACCTGTTAAGGTGTCGAGGCATTACGCGAAGGGTGCTCTGCAATTCTTGGTACCTGTCTTAATGAAGAAGCTTACCAAGCAAGAGGAGTTCGACGACGAAGACGATTGGAATCCTTCGAAAGCAGCCGGAGTGTGTTTGATGTTATTGTCTTCTTGCTGCGAGGAGGCTATCGTTCCACATGTTCTTCCATTTGTCAAGGACAACATAAAGAGCGCGGACTGGAGGTACCGGGACGCCGCGTTAATGGCATTCGGTTCGGTCCTGGGCGGTTTGGACCCTGGAACGGTCAAACCGCTGGTAGAACAGGCCATGCCGACCTTGATCGAGTTGATGTACGACGGCAGCGTGGCTGTAAGAGACACAGCGGCCTGGACATTCGGTCGTATTTGCGATATCATACCGGAGGCAGTGATCAACGAGACATACTTGAAGCCCCTGCTGGAAGCGCTGTTAAACGGCTTGAAGGCGGAGCCACGCGTGGCAGCAAACGTTTGCTGGGCATTCACGGGGCTAGCAGAGGCCAGCTACGAGTCTGCTGAGAGCTCGGAACACGGAGATCAGCCAGACACATACTGCATGTCCCAGTACTTCGATTACATCGTTCAGAGATTGTTGGAGACCACGGATCGACCGGACGGGGCCCAGGCGAACTTGAGGTCGGCGGCCTACGAGGCCTTGATGGAGATGGTGAAGAACTCGCCCCGCGATTGTTACGTGACCGTGCAGAAGACGACGATGGTGATCCTGGAGAGGTTGCAGCAGGTACTGCAAATGGAATCGCATATCCAGACCCATTCGGATCGAGCTCAATACAACGATCTGCAGTCACTGCTCTGCGCCACCCTGCAATCTGTGCTTCGCAAGGTCACCCCGGAGGACGCTCCTCAGATATCCGATGTGATCATGATGGCTTTGCTGTCCATGTTCAACTCGAACTCTTGCAAGACCGAAGGTGTGCAAGAGGACGCCCTGATGGCTGTGTCCACCTTGGTGGAGGTGCTGGGCGAAGGGTTCCTCAAGTACATGGACCCGTTCAAGCCATATCTCGTCCTCGGGCTGAAGAACCACGCCGAATATCAGGTGTGCTGCACCGCCGTTGGTCTGACCGGTGACATCTGCCGGGCTTTGAAGAACAAGATGTTTCCCTACTGCGACGAGATCATGACGTTGCTGTTAGAGAACCTTGGCAACAACACGGTCCACCGGTCCGTGAAGCCTCAGATATTCTCGGTATTCGGCGACGTCGCTCTCAGCATCGGTCCCGAGTTCAAGAAGTACTTGGACGTTGTCCTGCAAACTCTAGCGCAAGCATCCCAGGCTACCGTCGACAGGAGCGACTACGACATGATTGATTATCTGAACGAGCTCCGAGAGGGTGTCCTCGAGGCCTACACCGGCATCGTTCAAGGCCTCAGGGGCGATGGAACGAACCTCTGCTCGGACACGGCGGTAACACTCGTGGAACCGCACGTTCCCTTCATCATACAGTTCATCACGTCGATAGCTCAAGACCGCGAGCACTCGGAAGGTAATATCACGGCCTCTGTAGGTCTACTGGGTGACCTGGTCATCGCCTTCGGGGCGAAACTGTTGCCGATCGTGGAGACCAAACCGCTCACCGATCTTCTGGAAAAGGCAAAACGATCGCGCAATCAGAAGACAAAGGCTTTGGCTATGTGGGCGTCCAAAGAAGTTCGGAAACACCACATCGCTGCCAATTCGACGTCCAGTTGGTGAGTAGATCTATTTTTCTATCATTCCCCCCTCCCCTATACGTCGAACCGTCGGTTGTTGTTCTCCAATGGGTACGACTTCGATGATGACATCCTGATGTCATTTGTTATTTATGCAAGAAGACTCTACGAAGGTTGAGAAACGTTGTTGTTCTGGTCGATGGATGATCTTGATAGGATTTTTCAGGGTCATTGGATATGTACCTTTTGGCGAACGACTATCGAAGCATTTTCTCGTGTGAACGATGTGTGGTGAATGTACTCTCATCTTTTATTCGTGCCGATTCATGATCGATTAATCGCTCGTCTCATCCATTCTCGATGCCCTTCTCAAGATTATGACACGGCCGTTTCCGTCTCTGCGGCGTGTTCATTGATACGGGCGAGATTATCACAGTGCCATGGCAGGCAGTGCCGAACACAGCAAAGACAAAAGAGAAAGAGGGATGGGGTGGGCGTGCACGCGCGGCGGGGGTACGGTAAAATTAACGGTTAAATTAGGGGCGTATTCGACTTGATAAAGAAAGGGGCCTAAGTAAATTAGCGGCAATAAAAAAGAAAAAAGAAAAAAAAAGAAAAGAAAATCAAAAACGTATAATTCACACCGGTGGGCGACGGTTATTGATATTTGGCTCGCTTTTGTTGTTTACAGATCACCCCACGGTTGTACTGTCGTGCAATTTGATTTGACTAGAAAGCTATCAAACACAATACAAAGACAACAAGATTGGATGGTGCGGATGCGAGTTGATGGATGTGCGTGAGCGTTCCGAAGCGATGACGATGATGCGGTGATGATGAGTCTGCACGTGTCCCTGTCTGGCGACGGTATATTCCGAGTACCGGCGCACAGAGCGCAGCCCATTGGTCGAGATTTCAAAAACATAAAAAAAAAAACGCATAACATAACACGAGAGAAATAAGAGTTACGCAAGTGAGAAAGATAACGAATATAATAATGAATAATACCTGTCTGCCTGCCGGATGCCGAGAAAAACCACGGATGATGAGGAGTGCAAGTGGATATGTTGCCGATGAATGAAGGCCAAGGCCGAAGCCTGCCCGAGATGTTCCGGTGATGCAAGTATGCCTGATAACGAGCCTGGGGCTTCTACCCGCGTGATTGAGAAGTTGCACCTGAGGGAAGGACGACCTCGATGGACGGTGATCGTGGCCAGTGAGAAAGAGAGAGTGAGAATGAGAGAGAGAGAGAAAGAGAGCGCGCGATGGAGAGAAAGTGATGCGAGAGGAACGCGAGAGAATGAGAGTGAGACACACCAGTACAGGGAGACCAAGGAGAGACTGCGGAGCCTGATGACGTTGATGATGAGGATGATGATGATGATGAGCGTCTGGGAGCAATTGAACGGGAGAATGTTTCTTTTTCCATGTTCTTTCAGTTGTTCATTCTTTTTCTAGGAGAAACACAGACAATGTATGTATGCGTGAGAGGGAGAGAGAAAAAATAATACCAAGAGAAGAATGGTAGCGAGAGAGTGTTGTACAAATAAAGAATCGTTGTCACCGTTGAAAGAGGACGTGTTCGAGTGATGAGAGAAAGTAAATTATGTTGATCACGTCGCGAGGCTAAAGCTCGCGAACGTTGTACAGCGTGTTTCCGTGACTTTTTTCCCCGATTTCTCGCTCGAACGATCGCCATTGCTCGTTGGAGGAATCTACGGGAACGACATGGTCGTCTGTCGACCGGTATGCTTGTTGAGATACGTGATATTCCCAATTGGGCGAGAGCAAACACTGATTATGTAGTTGCTTTTCGGAGTGCTGCTGACTGTCGTACATGCCGATGCAACCCGAGTGTTTGTGCGAGAGAGAAAGAAAAATAGAGAGAGAGAGAGAGCAAGAATGAATGAGTTGAAACGAGAGAAAGAGAGAGATAGAGAGAAAGAGAGCGCGAGATAGTTAAGGGTAAGAAAGGGATGATCGAGTAACTGGCAATAAATGGTCAGCTTCGATGGAACCTTGATGACCCCTGGTCCGATCGTGCTGCGCGAGAATCGAAATGAATCAGTTGTAGTATGACGATGTGTATGTTATTTTTACCCCCCCGTACGTGAATGTCCGTTGCTGTTGATTAATTAAAATTAATATTTTGCTGGCATAAGTTATTCAGTTGTACCGGAAGTCCTCGTTCGGCCTGACGAAAGTTCGGAAGGAACCAAAAAAAAAACAAAAAAATACGACTCAACGATCGAGACCCCGACTATCAAATAATCCCCATTTAACAAATACACGCACACGCACACAGAGAGACACACACGGACACCTGAGATCCTGCGCGCGCGAACACGTACACACGATTTCCACGTGGTCACTGTTATCGTTACCAACGAAAACGAAAACGCGTCGGCTGAGAGCTTTTTGCACTGCCATTATCGGGAACGATAACCGTACAATTTTTGAGCATTTTCTTCCTGTCCCACCGATGCTCGTGGATCGACCATATAATTAGAGGATATCGGTCTTCCGGGCTTCTTGATCAGGGGGCGGCGAATAATCGAACGATCACGGTGATCGCGTAAAATCCAGGGATGGTGATTGACATGATCTAGTCCGGTAATCGTGGGCCCACGATTGGTCCGAGGTGAGAATCAAATTGATAGACGAATTAACCGAGACTCGGACATTTTGGATTAGATCATCTCAAACCTGTCTCGAGCGAGAAGAGCCCCTTCTTCCGTGGAGCGACGTCGCGTCGCGGGATGTGCCGGAAGGAAATCCGGGACGTCCCGAGGACATCCGAGATCACAACAAGTTTCTATTCTATTGTGGCCGGGGCTCTGCCTGCTCGAGGCTTAGACCGTCGCGATATTTAGCAACATTTTACACGAAAGATTAACCGGACGGTCGGCCACTCTAATAATATAAAACGACGTTGCGTCACGTGGCTCGAAACGTGGCTGTGGTAGTGCCATGCATTCCAAATACTTTGCCAGCACACACATATATACACAAATATATATATACATACACACACATACATACTCTGTGACTGAACACATTCGAGATTTCGATCGTTTCGTAGCGATTCAATTCTTCTACGTTTTTCTCTGTTTTTCGGGGAACCGCCTCGTTCCGTGTGACATGCTCGTACAGAAAACTCTCACACAATCACACACCGATAAGAACGCGCGCGCGCGCGCGTGTTCAGAACGCGGTTAGATGGAAATATTGTTGCCAGTGTTCAGCAGCCACCGATATATTATTATTGGGGGCGGTTCGAAGGGGAAAGAGAAAGCGTGTTTCGAACAGCGATGGGATTAATATACAATAAAAGAGTTATTTACATCGGCGTGGCGGTGAACGGGCAACCAAAAACAAGAAATGGGAAAAGGGAATTGATTGCGGGACGACTGAACTACAACATAAAAAAAAGGAAAAAAGAAAAACGAAACGAGAACAAAGAGAAGAGTTTTTATTAAATTGATTATCTTTTTTACGATTTTACATATCGAGGATGAAAACAAAGTCTCTGCTCCACGTCTGAGTATAAATAAATATATATACATATATAATTTTTTTACTGTTACGATCGATATTGCCAAACTTAGCGTGTAAGGGAAACAAGAGGAGAAGAAGTCGATCTAGTTTTTAAAAAACACAAAACGTTTGACAAACTACAAACACATAGGGGTTGGGGGAGAGAGTTAGAGAGAGAGAGAGAAAGGAAGAAATAGAAGTGAAAGAGAGATAGGGTGAAATCGTTTTTCGGCGACCCACTGGCTGATAGACTGGAGCCTAATAACCTTGATCTCTTTGCCGTTTCGCGCGAATTCGCCGCAATTGTTTCAGCGTGCCGTTCTTCTTTCGATTTTTTTTTCTGTATTTGATTTCCGTTACGGAGGATCCTCTCGAAATTTTTCTAACCGACGAAACACACACGGTGTCTTCCACTTTACCGACGAAATGAACCATGAAAAACCTCCACCGCAAATATAAGACGGAAAGTACGGCTTTTGCTCTGATACCTAATCGCGAATCAGATACATATATATATACATATACATATAGAGAGAGCGTCACTGTCCTCGCTGAACCCTGCCGATCCACCGACGAGAATCGGTCCGAATCCCGTAAATAAATATAACGAAAAGACAAGAGAAAACAAAAGATAACGAAGAACCCAAAAAAGAGAAGGAAAAAGAGAAAAAAGAAACGCCGAGGCGAAAAGTATCCTTTTTATTTTACATTCCACGTAGCAGAGAGTATTGAGGGAAAGAGAGAAAGGGTGAACGAGATGCGGAAAGGAAGAATGAGGGAGAGAAAGGTATACATATATATATATAAAGAGAGAGAGAGAAAGAGTGTTCGATAAAGAGAGTGAAAGAGAGAAAGAGAAGAACCACGACGGAGAGAGGAGCGCAGTGTTTTTCGCAGATCTGATAACGGGACTCTCTCGCTCGCGATTCCGACTCGCAAAACAATTATATTTATTATCTCGCACCGAATCTTTCGCTGCATTTTGGATAATCGAAAAACTTCGAATATCCACCGCGCAACGAACTCTCGAACAGCGTTCCCTTTTAGGAACCGGTTGACTTCAAAACTACGATCTAAATTTGACTTCGTTGCTTAAGCGTTTGCAAAATTCGTGGCTGTTGCATATCTATCGGCGGAAACGTGGGTTTGTTAATTTTTGTTTATAGGAAATGTTGATACAGAAAACTGCAAACTTCGACACTGTAAGTGGCTTCGATAGATTGGCGTTTTGGAAGCTTTATATATATATATCTACGAGTATTTCGTATCTGGTGCACATTCCTTTAACACTCGAACGGCGGACCTATTCGATAAAAATATAATCGAATACGTTTCGAATTGCGTTTAAAAATGTATTTATCATTTCCGACGTGTTTTCGAGGTGTTCCTTTTAGACACGTTGTGTTCCATAGACCTCGCGATTAAATTTGTGAACATTTAAATTCATTGTACGATAATATCCAGGCAAATAATATATTTTTTCTTGGTATGAAAATGGATCTGTTAACTAGCAGATTTTTCGATGATCTGCGTTTAATCCGGCTGCTAGAGGATCGAAGCTAGATTGTCCGAGGATGCAGCGGAAGGATGAAACTGGTCGCGAATCGCGTAATCGGGTGCGAGCCAGTTAGTTCGAGAGAGGAGAGAGAGAGAGAGAGAGAGAGATCGCGAAGAAGATTGCGCGTGTCGTGGAAACGTGGAAGATTGGAGGCGATGAAACTAGGAAACGAAACGCCGGTCGTGCCGTGAACGAAGTGAGAGCTAAGTGAGGCGAATACAACGTGAATAAAGAGAGAGAGAGAAAGAGGGAGAGAATGTGTGAGAGAGAGAGAAAGAGTGAGCGAGAAGAAAATTATATTATATACGCGACTGTGATCTTTTGGAGAGACTCTCGTGTGCGAGGGGTCGATGTTCTACCTTGAAAGGCGGCGCGGCTGTTCCCGGCGGTTCTCGCCGGTCCTCCGAGCATGATCTCTTAATCCTCGAAGATCGTCGACAAAAAAAAAAAAATCCTCGTGATCCCGAGCGCTGACAATTTCGCTCCTCCGACGGTAATTATTTTTGTCTATTCACTGGCGAGACGTGGCGAGTGGTCACGCACTCGGGCTAGCCTAACGCGCACACTAATCGTTGCTCGGGGTCATCGAGACTTTCCTAAATGATTCGCGGAGATGCCAAGGTGCTGAACACACACGTTCGCCGCGACTGGCCGCGTGAGCTCGGCCGGGGGACCCCGTTGTAGTCCCGGGAGACCAAAAACCTTGCACCTGTTTCTCATTCGGTTTATTCTTTCGGGGGAATCGCTCGCGGCAACGATGCACGCGTACGGAATCGGAATTTTCTGCGCCGACTAGAGCGTTCACACAACGATTCTCAATTGCATTTAGGACGTCCACGTTCAGTTGGAACGTCACGGGATTTTTCGAGGGGCGCGCGATCCAAGGGAAAGCGAACACCGTCGAGGAGACGGTTCTCCGCGCACCCTTGGCCCATCGGTCCGCCGAATTTCTCGGGGAAACATCCGAACGTGTGCGCGACCGGCAATCTGGCAGATGCTCGATCGCGCGATTCTGGCGAGTCCCGGATCACATTTCTGCCAGATTGATAGCGGTTTCGACGTTCGCGGCACGACGGAATTCGGCGCGCGAGGGTCACGCGGAATCGGATCTGCTAGCAGTCTCGAAGGACGACGAGGATCGACGGTGTTTCGGTGCTCGGACGCGCGTCGTGTCACGGGATTTCGCTTCACACGTTAAGACATATCAAAAAAATCGTAGGGGGACAACGCGATCTCCGCGCATCGTGCGGGCTCACGCCGGCGGCACGCGGACGCGTGAACTTTTTTTTCGCACCTGCGGAGGACCGCCGGAGCCGCGCTCCCCGGATGAAAAAACTCACACACACACGATAATACTTTATCGAACTATTAGTTGTTAGCCTTTTCATCGTCGAGACTCCTAGAGTGCGTGCGATGCTTCATAGGGAACGTACGTGAGAGCGTAATTAAGTATATGTATAAGCATTATTAAAATAAAAGAGAGAGCGACGGGAGGAGGGAGGAGCGTGTGCATATTACGCTGTATCAGTGATGATGTGCGCTGTTGAACGTGTAAGAAGTCACGATTATACCGATGATAACGGTGTGCTCCGTGGGTTGCGAGAGCGAACGAGAGCGAGCAGGAGAGAACGTGAGAGAGAAAGAGAGAAAGAACGTGAGAGAGAAAGAAAGATAGACGGGACGAAGAGCAACAAAACAGAGAGAGTACGTATGACTGCTAATGTGTGCGAGCGAGCGCGCGCGCGAGAAAGAGAGAGAGAGAGATAAGGGGAGTTAGAATAAGAGTGAAACAGAGAGAAAGGGAGAGTCTGCGAAGAATGACGTCGAGGAGTTGGCTCGTGATTCGTCGTGAATCGCGGCGTCACTATTCACGGGGGATGGGAATTTGTAAAGTGAAAAGTACATGATAAAAACCGGGGGTAAAATGACGAAGATATAAAACAAAAAACGAAGAGGAAGATGCAAAACGAGGCAAAGAATGGAAATAAACAAAAAAAAAAGAAACAAAGTTATATAAATTTTGTATCGTGACGCGGTCTGAAGTTCGGAGAGCTGTCCGCGATCGGGATCCTGATCCGTGCGGCGGTCACTGAAATCTTTTAAGCAATTTATAGGAAGACAGAGAACAGATACTCGCACTAAAGTATAAAGCAAAAGAGAACGGGCAGCAGAGAAGAAGGAAAGAGAGAAACCGAAAAAATGGTGAAAAGATAAAAGCAGAACACGATGTTATTTTTCGAGAGATTTCAGCGACACCGCCGGACTCTGCTGCTGCTGCTGCTGCTGCCGCCGCTGCTGCTGCTGTTGCTGCTGCTGCTGCTGCTGCCGCTGCACGCAGTTTTCTCCTTTCTTCCGATATCTCTCGCGAGACCGCGGTGCCGTTGTACGTACGAGACAATATTTTCGATAATATTTTTTAAACGATCGAGTCGCGAAACACGAGGCCAACGCGTAGAGCTGTTGTGTTGTTCCAAAGCGTCAGAGGAGAAAAAGTTGCACGGTAATGGGGGGACAAACAAAAAAAAAAGCGTGGATGATCGATGCCCGCGCGAGAACGCCTACTACGTGTATACATGTGCGTGTGTATGGATGTGGTGATCCTCTGATATTTTTCTTCGATTATATTTCGAGCGGATCGATCGCCATTGCCGTGCATTATATCCGTGCGATTCAAAGCAGATAACTAGCGAAGAAAAGCAAACACAAACAAACAAACAACAAAAAAAAATCGAAAACATAAAATAGCAAATAGCAAAAAAAATACAAAAAAAGGGAGAGAAAGAGAGAGAGAGCGAGAGTGAGACAAATGAAGAGAGGGGTGAAAAGAGGGAAGACAAGAGCGTGTGAGAAGATTGAATTTTTTGTGGAGATGCGGATATAAAGAGAGAGAGAGAGAGAAAACGATAGAGCGAGAGAAAGAGTGAGAGAGAAAGAATGCTGCTGTCGAGTGCTGCCGATCGACGATCGGGCCAACGATTTATGATTTACGCATGCGAACAATTCGGACTATAATACGTGGGGCTGAAACAAGCGAGAGAAAGAGAGAACGCGACAAAAAGTAATCATAATAAACGACGAGTGTTGGATGATGGAGTTCTGTTTAGCCTGCGATATGTAATTTGCTCACCCTCTCCAATCTTTTCCCCCGCAGCTCGATTACTCACATCGAAAATCGCCCTTCTAATCGGGATCTTCAAAATGAAAGAGAAATCTAACGAAACGATCAAGGCCTACTCTCGTATCGTTCGATTATCCGAAATTGAACAGCGACGATCGAAAGAGGGCTATAAAACACCCTAAAATTCGACCCTAGACCATTCGAAAATACCTTCCCATTGTAGTAAATACAGCGTAATTTAATTTACCGCGCCATTGGCCAGAGTATCGTTCCCTTAGGGAACTTGAAAATGGCTGGCCCTGGTTGCAGCGATTTTTCGAGCTAGCAATTGACTCGCTTTCGAAGCATTTTCATAGATCATTCTTATTTTAACCTCTGACAATGAATGAGAAAACTTTAAGTAAGGGTTCAACTATCGTTAAACATCGCCGTGGAAGACCAGCAACGTCTGCCACCGTTTTAGCAATCTCTGATTCGAATCGATTATTTTCCGATTGGAATAGTCGGCCGCTTTCGATCGCCGCATGAAAATCGCGATCGCCAAGAAGATGCCTCTCGATGCACTCGACAGATTATTTTTCCTATCGATACGAGATCGAGGTGTTACATGGGGGTGTGTGTATGCTCAAAAAAAGAAAGAAGAAGAAAAACTCACTCTATACCGGAGCTTTATTTTGTTAGAACAAACGAGAGACGATTCCGGGGTCAGGCGATTTCGCGTGAAATCGTATAAACAGGAGAGGGTGCGGCACACCTCGTGGTGTCTAATCGTGTTTCTGCACGTTTCCTTTTTCGGTTTTTGCTGCGTCAGAGTCGTGTGGTCCTGCGAGGAGCCTGTGTTCATTGTGAAAGATTTCCAAATGACAACGACTATGTGACTTCGGCTGTATCGCTTGAATCTGTGTGGCAGAGAGCGATCGTGGAGTGACTGGGGGAGAGTGGCGAATCCCTTTGGAGAGAACAAGTGTGCTCGAAGTACGTGTATGATCGGTCACATTAATGCCCGGAGTAAAACGAGGAAGATAATAAAGGGACGGAAGAATCGGCGCGGGGGGAAAAAAACGCGAATCGCGTAAAATTCAAAGGTCGCCCGAGCGAAACGATCGGATTCGCGGCGTTTTCTTCCTTTCTTTTTTTTCGTGTTCCATTTCTCCCGTCCTTCTTCCACATTCGGCCAATTGAATCGCTTTATCTCTCGGACACGCTCGAATCTGTTTACGAGCGGCCGATCGGTTCTCGCGTGAACATTAATGTGGCTGGCTGTACTCCTCACTGTGTGCAAGAAACACCGATTAATTGTGAATCGCCAAGCGACTGTGCCATACGATATCATTTCGACTTGCTAATTAACGTCGCAACTTCGATTCGTCGTCCCGACAGAAACGGAAACGAAAAGAAGAACATTGGAAATCCGTAAACGCGAGAAAAAACTGTAAATCGACGCGTCTCGTTTGCCGATTCGAGATGAAAACGAGACGATTCCACGTTCGAACGGCATATAAAATCGGCTGGAACGCGAATTGCTTCCTCACGATTGTTCACGCTGAATTCTTTCGTTCCTTTTTCTGTTTCGCGAGAACCTAACAAAACAGAAGCAAACACACATATACACACAGAACAGAAAACAAAATTCGAACAATCGAGAAAAAGATGAAAAAAAGCAACCGAGATAATTGACCGTGAATAAAATCCAATTTGAATCTGTACACACGCAGTGACGCCATTATTACCAGTCCGTCGCTCTTGCATCGATGCTCTTGTTTTCTCCCTCCTACTATTTTGTTTCTTTCTTTCGACTAATCGTCCACCTTGACCCGTCGCGTTCGATTCGATAAAAGCTTGATCGACGACCGAAAACGGCGGACATTTTATCGGACGCCGCGACGCGAAACTTTGGACACCCGGTCGACGGGAGACTCACAATTGCCCGCCTGATCTTTTACTTCATCAATTGGATTAGTTCGGATCAGAACGAAGCCGTACGCTTCTTGATCCCGTGAATTCCCGTGATCGTCGATGCCGTACGAAAATAGAAAAATCCTCTCACATTTTCACCTCCCAGCTGCGTCTCAATCATCCTACGTGGGAACTGGTGCTATATCAGATCACCCAGAAGCGTGGAATCCCTTGTCATTCGTTTAACAATCATTTATCGAGAGGTTTATCGATAATGATTTTCTTCATTCTGTCGTCTTAAAGTCATAATTGAAAATTCCATTTTATCCCGTGTCCCAAAAATTTTCAGTTTTTATACATTGCAGTTGATAATAATGACGAATGAAGTATGCCATATTTTGAGATCGCACTGAAAAACGAGAAATTTTATTCAGTAGAGCAATAATTTGTTCTTGTTTTGTAATTATAGTACCAACGGAATGGAACATTCTGTTGCACAAAAATCAACGCAAAATACAATGAAATTAAATTATAGGCACTTTTCATACTGCATTCATTATTATATTACAATATATATTGTTTTACAGCTACGAAACGTTATAGTGTTTTATATATAGCTATATATATTATATATAGCTATTATATATTATATATATTACATATAACTATTATATATATTATATATATTATATATAGCTATATAATATGTTACATATTGCTATATATAATTACGAAATAACTTCTGCGAAATCATTGAAAACCAGAATAGTGCTTAACCCCTTGACACATCATTTTCTTCGCAGTTACTGCGATTAGAAATTTTTCGATTGCAATCATTTCTTAGAAGGGGNACATATACACACAGAACAGAAAACAAAATTCGAACAATCGAGAAAAAGATGAAAAAAAGCAACCGAGATAATTGACCGTGAATAAAATCCAATTTGAATCTGTACACACGCAGTGACGCCATTATTACCAGTCCGTCGCTCTTGCATCGATGCTCTTGTTTTCTCCCTCCTACTATTTTGTTTCTTTCTTTCGACTAATCGTCCACCTTGACCCGTCGCGTTCGATTCGATAAAAGCTTGATCGACGACCGAAAACGGCGGACATTTTATCGGACGCCGCGACGCGAAACTTTGGACACCCGGTCGACGGGAGACTCACAATTGCCCGCCTGATCTTTTACTTCATCAATTGGATTAGTTCGGATCAGAACGAAGCCGTACGCTTCTTGATCCCGTGAATTCCCGTGATCGTCGATGCCGTACGAAAATAGAAAAATCCTCTCACATTTTCACCTCCCAGCTGCGTCTCAATCATCCTACGTGGGAACTGGTGCTATATCAGATCACCCAGAAGCGTGGAATCCCTTGTCATTCGTTTAACAATCATTTATCGAGAGGTTTATCGATAATGATTTTCTTCATTCTGTCGTCTTAAAGTCATAATTGAAAATTCCATTTTATCCCGTGTCCCAAAAATTTTCAGTTTTTATACATTGCAGTTGATAATAATGACGAATGAAGTATGCCATATTTTGAGATCGCACTGAAAAACGAGAAATTTTATTCAGTAGAGCAATAATTTGTTCTTGTTTTGTAATTATAGTACCAACGGAATGGAACATTCTGTTGCACAAAAATCAACGCAAAATACAATGAAATTAAATTATAGGCACTTTTCATACTGCATTCATTATTATATTACAATATATATTGTTTTACAGCTACGAAACGTTATAGTGTTTTATATATAGCTATATATATTATATATAGCTATTATATATTATATATATTACATATAACTATTATATATATTATATATATTATATATAGCTATATAATATGTTACATATTGCTATATATAATTACGAAATAACTTCTGCGAAATCATTGAAAACCAGAATAGTGCTTAACCCCTTGACACATCATTTTCTTCGCAGTTACTGCGATTAGAAATTTTTCGATTGCAATCATTTCTTAGAAGGGGAAGAAAATTGATGCTTATTGTGCGCCTAAATTTACTTGAATGCTTAAACATTGATGACAAGAGACTAGAATTTTATTCCAATTTTAAAGGACAGACCAACGTCTCAATAAGTTATTACTAGAAATTTTCGTGACGCGTCGGACTCGCCGAAGTACGACAAGGGGTTAAAAGTTTAGCGGATGCTGTTGGGAATCGCCGTCGGGAAAGGCTTCTAAGACAGTTTCGTAGAACCGGTTCTGCAGTTTTGGCGGATAGGGGCGCGGGGGGAGGGTGGGGATTAAGAGTATCGAAGACAACGATCGGAAGTTTATCGAACGGCGATCGATCGATCGGACGATCCGACGATGGAAGTCACGCGGTGATGTCCGAAGAATGAATCGCGGCCGCCACGCAGCATGTGTCAGCAGTGTTCCTAATCTGTTCTAAGTACCCTTAACCCAATTGAATTAGAAGGGCAGACCCGGCGGCACGCGCCGCCGAAGTCGCCGTCTCTTCGGCATTTCTTCGATTTCCTTTCCCGCGCGTGAAACGCGGCGCGACAGTGCGTGCGCGAGAAACCAGCAGCCGCCTTCACCCTTAAAGAAAATCGTTCCGAAGTTCCCTTCGATCATACTTGATGTACTATATCCGGGAGCTGAACAATATCGGTGTGTTCGCGATCAAGATCCCGGAGTGAGTTCCATTCGCCGGATCGGGTTAAGTGAAACCGCTCGCAGAGGAGTTCCCTTTTACGCGTGTCATCTCGGGCGGTGTCCTGTTTCGCTTTCGAATTCTCCCGGTGTGTCTCCCGACGCTTTTGGATCGATAGGAGAGCAGCGTCTTTTTTGTGATCGATCGATGCCGATCGAGCACGGTGAACCGCGGCCAGATCGTACGTGCTCGTAATTCATCAGTTATACTTTTCGGTCCGTCTCTTACCAGAACTCACTAGACCGACTGCGAGAGCTGGCACGCTATCGAAATACGTTTACCGCAATCGACGAGCCCTGGGTCCGCGGAGGACGCCGTCAGGGTCGGCAAGAAGGCGGCAAGAGGATACGCCAGGATGGAACAAATGATGCACCGGTCGAGCCGTTCACGGATGGGAGCTAATGCACGTCACGTAACGCGTTTCTAAGGTATCGCCGACGTTTCGGTAGCGCGTACGTGGCCGAAGTCCATCAGAATGGAGCATCTGGATGATTATCAAGCCGCCGAGACCGCCAATGACAAGCAAACGACGAACGCCGACGATGAAGTAAGTTGTCCAAGGGTCGCGGAACGCTCGGCCAATTTGTCTCGAGGACTTCTCTCTCGTTAGACCTCGGCCAGTCTTTAGCGCTTTCGGAAGCTGATCGATCTCGGAAAGTTCGATCCCCATTGTCAGCTTCGCGAAGACACACCGCACACCGAGCGCATCTTCTTTTGCGAAATTTCCATGCCGCATTCGTTCCGATCGGTGAAACTGTCTCCGTTTCGAGAGGACAGAAGCTACCGGGTTCTCGGTCAGCCATTTTTGCTGATGCAACAGTAGACGTAGATAATCCGTAATGACACCTTGATGCGTAACTTGTTTGTTCAGAGACTCGTAAGCTGTTTTTTCGGCAATCGATAGGGACTTTGATGGATTACATAGAGATCGATGAATCTTGTTATCGGCACGAAACAATCGCAGCGATCCGATTCCACGGAATTGATTCGCACCGAACGCGTTAAGAGGCCAGGATTTTCGCCGTTGTAGGACGGTTTCGACCTCGACGACCTCCTGCCGATCGTCGGCGAGTTCGGCCTTTACCAGAAGAAGCTTCTCTGGCTGGTGTGCCTCCCGGCGTGCCTGCCGTGCGGATTTTGCGCCTTCAACCAGCTGTTCATGGCCAACACGCCGCCCCATTGGTGCAGGGTACCGGGATTGGAGAGCCTAGACGTCTCCCGTAGAAGAAGACTCGCGATTCCGACCAGTCAGGTGCAAGAAACTGATCGAAACTCCCTGATCCTGCCCCTAGTACGCCGCGAGAAAACTGCACCCTTGAATTTCTAGCGCTTCTTAAGACCGTCGACATGCATTTTGTACATATTTATATGAACGTATTGCAAAGTATCTCTTTTGTAATCACATATAAAAAGTTGGCAAGCTTTCGTGCCGTTTCTCAGTGATGGTAACAGTCTATAAAAAATACGGTTGCGATGAAACTATAAGACAGATCGTGGTTTTTGTCAAAAATCAACGCAGAGTTCTCCATTTTCTGTTTTTCGCTAGTGTCTTCCTCCATCTTTAAATTCGATCTTATAAATTATAAACTTTGTATTATATTCATACATACAAACTTTGTACACGTCCATAGTTTTCCGTAAATATTATAGACATTCAGAAGTGTCTCATAGTTTCGTCGCGGAATTTAGTTCTGTCTCAGAACTTCGGCTAGAAAATACAGTAATGTCTCTCTAATTAACGCTCGGATTGCCCACAAAAGTGGACAATTTAGGAAGAAAAGATACGATTATTCGAACGATCGATTATTCGATCCTTGCGGTTCATTTTTATAGTTACGAATTGTCGACAACCATAAAAATGGGCTACAAGGCTCGAATAATCGTATCTCCTCTTCCCAAATTGTCCATTTTTGTGCGCAATCTGAGCGTCAATTAAGAAGACATTACTGTATTCCTCAAATCCGAGTATTCGATGTAAAATGATCTTCGGTCCGATTAGAGCGGCACAGACAGGAATAGAAACGACCATAACGTATCAGCTGGTAGACGTTCGTACGAGTTGGTCCAAGTTGAACCCCGTATGCTTTTTTAGGCGTTAGAACCGTATCGATCGAAGACGAACGTTCCCCGATGAAGTACATCCCTTGTCCGAACCCATCATGCTTTCTGAGCGACTGTGTCCCATGTTTGATGCACCCTGTGGAGGATTTTGAGCGTTGTTAGATACCCTGTTGTTGGTAGAGTATCCACTTTAGCTCTGTAAGATCTGTAAGATCTTCTTTCTTTCGGCGCGTTGTAACGATCGGCTTTCGTGATTAGGACGACAACGAAACCTACAGCCAGTGCACACGATACGATATCGATTGGACAAAGGAAAACATATCGATCACGACGGAACCGTCGTCGATGCCGAACTCGTCGTGGCCGGTCGTCCCCTGCGATCATGGCTGGGAGTACGACATGTCGGAGATAACGTCCTCCATTGTGATCGACGTACGTTCCCACTCTCTAAATCATTATCGATCCTTAATTTAATCCCTTTCGGTGATTTTCCTGTCGAATCGTTTGCAGTTCGATCTGGTCTGCGATCATGCGATCTACCCGACGATCGGCCTGGTCGCCTTGAACACAGGTGGTCCTATAGGCGTGTACCTGTTCGGCACCCTGAACGACAGGTAATTGGTTTTTGTCTTATTAAGAGCAATAGCTTCGTCTCCGAAAGATGCGCTATACAAACAGATCTGGGTAAAAATATTTCAATTAAGAAATACAGATATTTGCAAATAGTATTTCTCTCAACTGTGTCACATATGCTTCGCTTGAAACAGTAATTTATTTCTGTATTATACCTCATTGATTTTACAAACATACGATAAGTATTTAAAACATGTATTTTACAATACGAACCAGAAATACTTCGTTGAAATAATTATTGTCTTTATTGTGCGCGACACTTGAATATCGTTTCCACGGAATTTCGTCGACCAATCAACAGCGAGCGTATATCTCGACATTCGTGTTTACGCTCGAGATACATCGTTAAAAGCAAACAGATGTTAAACGTTCCAATTACATTAATTAATCAAGAGAAATATAAAATAAGCTTATTCATCGAAGCAATATATGTTCGTACAAAAATTTGAACACATGAAAAATAATATCTCAAACAATTATTACCGGTGCATCTTCAGAAGATACTATTTCAATTACTAACTTACTATAACGTAACATAAATAAATACTTTCAATACTTATCTCTATGACGCGTCGAGTACGTTTTGAAATATTATTTCATGCAAACAGGAGTACTTTATTCATTATTTCCAATACTTTTTAAAATATTTTTGCTCGGGTCTGTGTGGAACAGTGCAAGGGTGCGTTATCGAGTGTGCTTCTATGAAAACGAGAGCCTCGTCTCACAGATCCGTTGCATTTTGTTGGCCAGAATCGGCAGGAGGCTGTCCTTCTTCACCTGTCTGGCGACGCTGATCACAGGTGGCTTTCTAACGTCGATATCGAACAGCTTCTGGACATGGGCGGCAACGCGTGTGGTCGTGGGCCTGACCATACCGGCCATTTATCAGATACCCTTCATCATATGTAAGCCTAGCCATTGATAAACGAGCGAAAGGCGCCCGGCTGCTATCGGGAACCAGTTTTATCAGACCTTTTTCTAATTTGCGACAGCTCTGGAGCTGGTCGGGCCGAACTATCGGTCGTTCGTGACGGTGATGACTTGCAGCTTCTACACAATGGGTTTGTGTATGCTAGCCGGCCTGACCTATTTGATAAGAGACTGGCGAACGTTAGCCATAACCACCAGCGCGCCTTTCCTCATGTACATTCTCTACTGGTGGTAAGTAGCAGTAGGGTATCGATGAACCCTGGCCCCGCACGACGTCATTTTCAAACGTCCAAGATCGTTGCAGGTTCCTGCCGGAGTCTCCGAGATGGTTGCTGGCGAAAGGTCGTCTGGTAGAAGCGAACGCCATCCTCGAGACGCTGGCCAAGGTTAACGGGAAAGAGCTGCCCGCCTCTTTCACCCAGAAACTTCGCCAGAGGATGATGATGTCGCGGTCGAAGAGCGAGGAGGAGCGACTGCGCAACGGACCAGGTGTTCTATCGCTGTTCAAGACCCCAAACATGCGCCTGAAGACCTGTCTGATTACCCTAAATTGGTAAATCAAAGTTCAGTTTGGCTAGACTAAACGTGACGTAGACAGTCACGCTGTAGTATCATTTTATCAGCACGATTAGAACGCGATTTGACACGCTCTATTATCGAGAGAGCCGCACGACGCAATTTATTGAACTTCGATCCAGAGAAATATTGATGACTGGGTCCGCAGTATGAACTTGATCAAGAAATTGATGACACGCGCACTCCATCGAATCGCGACTCTGTTTACGTTCGCGTTAGATTGCCTTGTCACGGAGTTTATCCAAAGTTCAACAGCAGATTGAAGCCGTGGCAAATAAGAAGTAGGCTTGATTAACGTGCTTCTTGGTCCACAGGTTCGCCAATAACATGGTGTACGTTGGACTCTCTTATTACGGGCCTGCGTTGGGGAACGAGGAGCATCTCAGCTTCTTCTTCTCGTCCCTCGCGGAAATTCCCAGCTACATGGCCTGCTGGGTGGTGATGGACCGGTGGGGTCGCCGATGGCCCCTCTGCCTCTGCATGGTCGTTGCCGGGGTCTCTTGCATCGCCACTGTTCTCCTCTCGTCCGGTACCCTAACTTCCCCCAATCCGTGATGATTCTAAAATGCTCCAGAACGAGTCCAGATTTATTGTCGCGCGGCTATGAGTTTTCACTAAATTATAACAGTTCAAACTATTTGTCGAAAATCTGGAGAATTTCTGGAGTCATTGTATTGTATTAGGGAGACCGGAAAGTAATGTCGTTTCTGCGCATATTTTTCTGTTTGAATTTAATGTAAACAAACGACATAACTTTCCGGTCCCCCTAATACAATAATAAGTAGACCGTGGATCTTCGGGCAAAATTAGAATCGTTCACAAGGTTGCAAGAATGAGGAGTAATTTAGGCACTGTTTACTCGTTGTTAATTATTATGGTAAGCATTGGAAGCAATGTAACGTTATTCATGAATTATTTTTTCTCTTTAACAGCTGTCCATTTTATGGATTCATAATAGATGTGACCAGAGAAAAAATGAAATTGTAGAGACAGTAAAAAAAATTCAGAAACGTTCCTACACACTCTTTTCACTTTTATTAGAATTATTCACAAAGGAAATACATTTCTGTTTAACATTAAATCTTGTACTTTGGAATCGTTGAAATTCTGAAGACTGCTTTATAGGAAATGATCGAGTCAATCTCTCAATACAAGCATACATTATAGTAAAAACGACGACGTGTCTAAACAAATACAGTCTTGTCAACTGTTATGTCAATGTTAGCTTACATTGAATGCAATTTACTTGGAACATTTTTATTCCGCATAAAGATCCGCAGTCTAATAATAAAAGAAAAGTTATAAGCAAAGCATCATCGAAGCTTTCTATAGGGATTAGATCATTGCGAATGTTTGCAGACGCTGTAGCGGTCACGCTGATTCTGTTCCTGCTGTCGAAATCTGCGATATCGGCCTCCTTCCTAATAATATATCCGTTCGCTGGTGAACTTTACCCGACGCAACTGCGCGGCGTAGCGATCGGTTTCTCGGCATACATCAGTGGTCTCGGACTTATCATCATTCCTTTTGTTACTTATCTGGTGAGTGATCGTAAATAAGCTTATCTCGGGGCCGGGCGTCATTTGCGTCATTGCAGGGTAAAGAGAACTTGGTTTTGCCCCTCGTGATACTGGGATGCGTCTCGGTGATCGGTGGACTGTCTGGTCTGCGATTGCCCGAGACGTTGCATCATCGGTTGCCCCAGACCGTCGAGGAGGGCGAGCTGTTTGGAAAGGATTGGACCTGCGCCGATTGCATCCGTTGCGTTCCAATAAAGTACGAGCCCCGAGTTCTCGATCAATCAGTCTCATTATATAGATCTCACCCTCCGGCATCCTGCGCAGCCTCTGTCGGTAGCTCGCTTCCAATTCTGCACGGTAGTCCGATATATGAAATTCTTTCCACCTTTTGGTGCCAGAAGCAACGAAGTTTCCCAGAAGTTCGGCAGTCTAGTATAATTTCACGATACTTAGGAATAATGCCGTTGAATTAGGACCTCGATAAAGCTCGACTATCGTCACCTGTTACTTTGAGACAATGACCCAGACCTAGTAGAATTAGTGGCGCTGTAAAGTTTCGTTATGATAGTCTAACTGCTCTGGAACGATGCTCTAAACTCAAGTGGAATCACCATAAAATTTCTGTTCCAATCACCATGAGATCTACTGCTCTAGACCTATGCTCATTTCCCAAGACTAATACAGCTTGCTACAAATTGATCGCAATTGGTACAAAGCCTTCTCATGATCTCCTAATGTTTTGGAACGATGCTCTAAACTCAAATGGAATCACCATAAAATTTCTGTTCCAATCTCACCGTGAAATCTACTGTTCTAGACCTATGCTCATTTTCCAAGACTAGTACAGCTTGCTACAAATTGATCACAATTGGTACAAAGCTTTCTCATGATCTCCTAATGCTCTAGAATTATGCTCCAAACTTAATCACAGCATAAAGTTCATACGATACCCTATAATCTCCTATAATACTAGAGCTGTGCGTTTCCAAAGACCAGTAGAATGACGATATAGGGTCTCCCGGTGCTCTAGAACTATGATCTAAGCTTAACGGAAATGATGTGAAAACGTAACGAAACGAACACTATTTCCTACTATCCAAGAACCAGTGCAATTTGCTCTAGATTTAGCACCTTAGAAATTGCAAACGGAGCCTGGGCTTTCGTAACGCCGGCAGAGCTTGACCATCTGAATTACTGGAGTAGTTCGAAGGTGTTTGTCGTGTCCAGGGATGTACCATGGTCCTCCTCTCTTTTAGACCCTCGTCCGCCGCAGCGTCCTACGAGGATCTGTCAGCCAGGGAGACGGTGGAGATGCACGAGGTGCCTGAACCGCCGATCGCCATACCTCAGAGGCTGCTAGAGGAGCAGCAGAGACCGAGCAACGCGAGCGTGCGCCGATTGGTTCGCCAGTCCAGCATGATGGAAACGCAGCGGGACTCTGACGGGTCCATTAAGATGACTTACTGGTTCTAGAGACTTCGTGGTTCAAATAAAATTGAGAGAACGATAGCTTGGTGGTCGTTTATTGCCTGCAGTTTACCTTGTTCCTCGGCGATAGACCAACAAAATGTCTTCGCTTAGAGAGACATCGAATTCATTTAGCTGACGCAAAAATACTTTCTCTATATCATTCTCTGTGTTTCCCGTACATTCTCATTGTCTCGATTAGCGTTATCGCTGTACATTTCCGACGATTCCTTCGAGTCGTTACGAATCGCTCTACGATTCGAGATCCAAAAATTCGCGACGAAGATCGTTATAAATAACTTCGGGTATCGACACAGCATTCGCAAAGCACATCGCGTTCCCCGCTTTTAGATAGTTCAAGGGTTACAGACGAATATAGCTTGGCGTAGATTAGGGGGAGGAGGAGGGAGTGAAGAAGCGGCAGACGGCTTGTGTACACCTTACAATTTATTCCCACAGTTGGTATAGAAAACACGAAGATTCGGAGGAGGAGAAATCAGAAAGGAGATCATAGGAGCCGTCCTGGCCTGGACCGAGACGCTGGCCGTGTTCACGATCGCGTCCCCCTCGAGCCGGTTCAGAGTCGAGTGGTTCTGTTGTAGCAGCTGTAAGCAGGTGGATCACTGTACGATTTCGGTGAACGGTCATCCGCCGATTAAGTCTGTATTTTCTCGGTCTAGTTACCTCTCCAGTAATCGCCGCTTTAGCTCTGGCGGGTAGGATACGTAAATGTAATGGTCGGGCATGTCCTCGCTCGAGCCAGGCAGCTTCTCATCCCCGGGATCACATTTTCTCCTTTCGCTCGACCTACCCTCCCCAGGACCACTCGGATCGTGCAGCGACGCAGCAGCAGCTAGATCTCCGTCGTGATAGTCCAGACTTCCGGTTCCGTCCAGCCTGTCTTCGTCCGCGGAGCTGAAAAGGTCAGGCTTTTTCTAAACTTCCGTCGCGCGCGCGACTTTTCAATCGCGGCGACTCGAATCCTAGGAATCTCGCTGGCTTTCCGAGCGTGCTTCACCGCGTAAATGTGCAGCAGTTCTTTCTGTTTTATCATTTTAAATAATTGGACACGCGGCATTGGTCGTATTAATCGAGCGTTTGTCGCTGGGGCATCGGAAGAAAAACAAAACGAGCGGAGAGTTTTGATCATTTGTAAAGCATTTTATAGCGAAGTTCGTAGTTGCCGCAACAAAACGTGCATGCCGATGTTCGACTGAGTGGGAGGACATCAGAAAGATACATAGTGTTATGAACCATCATCAATATTACAGTCCTAACTACAGCACGTCTCTACGTACCGACGTCAATACTCTCAAGGCTTCCAAGAGACATTCAGAACTTTAAAATTCCCGAGACCCCGATTCTTTCGTGTTTGTTAGAACCGACGTGAATCATCTATACAAATTAGCAGCGCCGTAAACAAACTTTTTGGCTGCGCGATCGCATCGCGTTCTTATCGAGCGTGACTTCGGGCAAAACAATGTTGCATTCCAATTTCGGGTGACCCGCGGGAACCGTAGACTTTGCACTTTCGGGCGCAACGAATCGATCGGGCACATTGTTTACGACCACTCGAATTCGCAATATATCGTTGATCGCCGGGATAAAGTTGTAAATACATACACGCAGCCGTAACACGTACGAATGCATCGTGTTGCATCGTTTCCCGACGATAAATGTCGCGACACTTCGCGACAACACTGATATCTTTCATATCTTGATATCGCGCGTCGCGATCCGAAACAATCGTAATACATGTATAATTCGAAGTATCCGGAAAGATTTTGGCAGTGTTTACGAATACGATCTTATCGTTCGCGTTTCTTCTCTCGGAATACTCGAGAACGAGATCGTTTTATCGTGTCAACTTCGAAAAATAAATGGCTGTGCACGCATGGACGCAGTCGTAGGAGACCTTCGGTGCGATAGAAAATTAGTCGATTGCTCCAGACGCGACGGAACGTTCGCGAATTGCTGGAACTAGTTAGACAAGACAATATCTCTTATCGCTGCACTTTGGTAAATATAGAATTGAGATAAAATGTCGGGAACGCGACGTTTCGCCAAACGCATGTATCAATTGCAACGCTTCAATTCTTTCACGCTGCAACGCTACAGTAATTTGTCCCCGATTCGCGCCGAGATCGCGCACGAAAATAGACAAATGGCTCGTTTTTTTTAAAGTTACCGACTGTCTACAACTATAAAAACGAGACTCAAGGCTCGGATAATCGTATCTTCTCTTCCCAAATTGTCTATTTTTGTGCGCGATCCGAGCGCGAATTAGGCAGAAATTACTGTACAAGTAAAAATAAATAAATCGACAACAGGCTGGAGAATCGAAGCGATTCCTTCGGCTCTTCTTCTTTTCGTTGTCCCTAATCTATAACTCGCAGAAACATGTTCGTCAGATCACTGTGTAAACTGTAAATGGGCGCATGCTTCGAATGGTTGAGAAATACGTAATTTGGATTCGACGTACGTACTTGAACAGGACCCAGATGACATAGTAGCATGCATAAATCGACGTGGACAGAATAGTCAGAAAAATAGTGAGCAGGTACCAAGGTGTGTGCCNCGACGTAGGTTATCTTTCTCGGGTTAACCAGTGATGTTGCAATTAGTTCGTGATACGCGTGTTGTTAAAGGAGGCGTTACAATAATTTCTCCCTAATTCGTGCACAGATCGCGCACAAAAATGGGCAATTACGGAAGAGAAGATACGATTACTCGAGCCTTGTATCTCGTTTTTATAGTTATCGATTATCAACAACTATGGGAACGAGACGCAAGGCTCGAATAATCGTATTCTCCTCTTCCCAAATTGTCTATTTTTGTGCGCGATCCGAGCGCGAATTAGGCAGAAATTACTGTACAAGTAAAAATAAATAAATCGACAACAGGCTGGAGAATCGAAGCGATTCCTTCGGCTCTTCTTCTTTTCGTTGTCCCTAATCTATAACTCGCAGAAACATGTTCGTCAGATCACTGTGTAAACTGTAAATGGGCGCATGCTTCGAATGGTTGAGAAATACGTAATTTGGATTCGACGTACGTACTTGAACAGGACCCAGATGACATAGTAGCATGCATAAATCGACGTGGACAGAATAGTCAGAAAAATAGTGAGCAGGTACCAAGGTGTGTGCCTCTGTTGCCTCTTCGTGTCCTCCCAGTACCTGTCGCAGCTGAGATACCAGCATATCGCGCGATTTAGCTCCCCTGGAACCGGAACAAACGTCCAGATAATGCGACGGTCTAGCCAGGATTGATTTCGAAATCATTGACAAGAAGTTGTTTGCTGCCGAAGTCTAGAAACTATCGGAGATTAGAGTGCCGCCGTCGGCCGAGTGAAATTCCTGTCAGTGATTCCACCGCGTCCTGCAGCCTTATCGATTGCTATGCGGCCACGTACCTTCGATTTCTTGAAAGTCCCGCACCGAGAGATTCGTCAAAAGCCCGGCGATACAGTCGCGGACCAGTATCTGTACATGGCAGAAAGCACGAGAGAATTATCGTCACGATTTTACATAAATCTGAAGGGATTACGAAACCGGAATCGTCTCGTGATAACTAGCATACTTCATCGAAACATTCGGGGAACAATGTTGAACTGAACGTTCTAAAACTACTATACCGGAGCCTGTATCGATTACCTGGAAGGTAGAAATCGAATCTAGCTGGAGAAATACTGCACGCTTTCTACGAAGGCAGCCACTAATTACTCAGAGTTAGGTAACTAAGCGTCTGTACAGGATTCGAAGTCATCGAATTGCAACCGATACCTGCGCTCCAATCTCTCATGCAGACGTTCTCCGAACTCCATCGAATCCTCTATATCCAGTACCATCCACGATACCGAGACTATTGTTCCGATGACACGACAATGCGATCATTTTTCAGAGAAGATAGCTCTCATATTCAATCATTATCTTCTCGATTGCGACAACCGAACGATTTAATTACAGAGAAATGGTCCCACTCGGAAGCCGTATCGTTTTCAACGAATCGACACATTCGTATTTTTCTATTTCAACCCATGCTTCTACGGTGCTCCAGTCCTTATCGTCGCTCGATAAGAATCGTGCCGCGTCACGATTGCTGTACAATAGATATTGTACGACAAACACAGAACGTATCGCGGTTACTTTCCGAGGAAACGCAGCTTTGATCGCCCAGATCGCTGGATTCGATAATGCCACAATTGCATTTAACGTTTGCCAGCCGTTCGAGATCGAGTTCCGAGAAGTGAAACCACTTTGGACCACGATGGGACAAAAATGCAAATTCTCATTTGTCACGATGACGATGCTAATTTTTGGCATAAGCTAGACACCAAGTGGGACCATTCCGGGCAACTAGAACCGAATTCAGAGTCATGCAGCGAGCTCCAAAGCCTCGTCAACTAACTTCGCACTGCAGCTTGAGCTTCTGCAGCTCCTCAGGCTTGCAGTTGGACTTGAGCTTCCTCAGGTGCAGACTCTTGCGCCTCTGTTTCTTGTCGACGGCTGGTAACGCGGCTTCGACCAGGTTCTCTTCGTCGTCTTCGTCGTCCTCGTCCTCCTCCTCCTCCTCGTTGTCGCAGGCGTTGCTCTTGTTGTCCGGACCAGCGATCTCCACGTAATACGCCGTCCCTGGCAGCCGGTGATTTTCGAGAGCCCCGCTGTCTTCGCGGTGACAGTACTGCTGGATGTTCCTGACGGCCCCGCCGCCGGACATCGTGCAGGACTTCTCGACCGGGTACGTCCTCGACAGGCTGCGCAGGTTGCACTCGATCACAGAGGTCGAACGTTGCTCCGTGTTCTCCTTCCACACCTGGATGTCCGTGCTGTGATGTCCCGCCTCGTCGTCCACCAACGAGCTCTCGAAGTCGCGGTTCCCGAGGACGTCGCAACGCATGATGTCGCAGTAGTCCGCCAGGCACACCGCATCCTCCGCCTGCTTGGACAATTTTTATAGTTAGATACGTCCTCCTTGAAGACTAATATATCGCGTTCGATAATTACACGGTGTCCCGGAATTATTGTACAAGCGAGAAATGAGGGGTTCCTGAGGTCGTTTCGAGTAACTTTTTCCTCAGCGAAAATGCGATCCGAGGCTTCGTTTACGAGTTATTGACGAAAAACACTGACCAATGAGAGGCGAGATTACACGGCGCGAGGCGGCCGAGCCAATCAGCGGAACTGGGCTTCGAACACTCGTTTGCCCGGCCGCCTCGCGGCAGCTAAACTCGCATCCCATTGGTCAGTGTTTTTCGTTGATAATTCATAAACGGAGCCGCGAATTGCATTTTCGATAAGGAAAAAGTTGCTTCGAACGACCTCGGGAAGCTATCATTTCCCGCTTGTACAATATTTTGGGACACCTTGTATAAAATCATCCGAAGATTTTCAGTTCTTCTATATACGAGTTGATATAGTAATAATGAAGCGTGCAATGTTCGAGATCGCATTGAGGAACAATGTATCTTTAGGATTTTTCATTGAAAATAGCGGTAGATCCACGCGATACTAAATCATTGTTATAATTTCATTTGATTGCATTTTCGGTGGAATTTTTGTGTAATACTGTTCTATACTGTTCTCCATAGTTACGAAACGAGAATAAATCAGCTTTCACATTTGTTTTTCTCTTTCTCTTAATTCAATAAAATGTACCTTTTTGTACAAATATATCGCTCTTTTGGCGCAATCTCAAATATGGCATACATCATTACGTTATCTGCAATGTCTAAAAACTGATCAGTTTGGGAAACTAGAACTACTGTTAATTAGACCGCGTGCACAATGTGTCTTTAGGCGCAATGGATCGACGTCAGAAAACATAGTCCGTTGGTGCTTCTTCATCGATGATTGGACATAAGCATTCAACAGTCTACATTTTTCTGCGAGGGGACCTATTTATACTTTCCATATACATGGTAGTACGTGAATGTTTATGTATTTACGACAGCGATAACAGAATATTTATGATTGCGTCGAGACTTTCACTTGATGTTGATCGCAAAGAATCTTTACAGATCGCGAAAGAAATATTCTCCTTGTTCCAATTGTGTAGTTTATTCACAGATCAGGATTAGATCGTTTGGATTCTCCGCTAGTTCTGATGTAAACGTGCTCAGGATTCCTTTTTTATCTGCTACGAGCTTGTAAACGGCCGACTCATTTCATCGCATATCTAATACATTGGAAACATGAAATTGTAAATATCTTTTTTTACCACTACCTTCGCGACTGAATATTCAGTTTATTAATGACATGATATGAGTAAATAGACACTATCTTTATACACAACTGATTGCGATAGTCGTAGTGCTGTTTGTTGCTTGGAAAATAATAATATATAAATATACATATATATATATATATATAAATATATAATAATAATAATAATAATAATAATAATAATAATAATAATAATAATAATATCGAGCGGCTGGAGAATAAGTAAGCGATGCAAGAATGTGTTACAGTCCCGAGTCTGGGTCACCGATTGAAATGAAAAGCGTAATCAATCGACACCTTGAACTATTCACCCTCTGCGCTGAATAGCTCGATGGCACCCTTCTGTTGGAGAGGGCATTCGAAGAGTAAATGTTTGAACCAGAAGCAACGAAGTTTCAAGTCGCGAAGTCTTTACGTTAGAAACCATGAAGCATTGAGCATGAAGTCTGACGTTAGAAGCCTTGACGTCCGACGTCAGAAACTATGAAGTCTGACGTTACAAACTATGAAGTCTGACGTTACAAACTATGAAGTCTGACGTTACAAACTATGAAGTCTGACGTCAGAAACCACGAAGTTTCATTACATTAGAAACAGACATTAGAAATCGCGAAATCCGACGTTAGAGATCATGAAGCACCAACCAGGAAGTCTGTCGTTAAAAACAATGAAACACTAACCATGAAGCCTGAAATCAGATACCATGATGCACCGACCACGACGCGCTAACCATAAAGTCTGACGATAAAAACCACGAAACACTAATCACGATGCCCGACGTTCGAAACTACGAAGTCCGACGTTACGGATCACGAAGCACCGACCACGAGGTGCGAGGTTAACACTAAACCTACCACGGTCAAAATAACCGATTTTTTACGATACTACAAACTTTGGAGACTTCTTCGTGGAAAATGATCGAATAAATTATATTATTGAAACAAGTCTCATAATTAATAACTTTACAAAATCCAAGTGAATTCTATCTTTTCACTCTTACGAGTCAATGCACGCTAATCATCGTTACAGTTCGATTGGTTTAGTGTTAAAAACCAGGAAGCCTGGATTGAGGAACAAAATCATGACACGAGAACGTCGTGTATCGCACGGGCGAGGAGCGAATGATACCGGATAACAATCGCTCTACCAAATCGCGGCGGTTCGAAGGAACGAATGAACGTCGGCTATCTTTGTTGATCGGATGCGTACCGTGTTAACGTTGCTCTTGTGTCTGTTATCGAAGTGGGCATCCAGGTGTTTCTCCGCGTAGAACGACTTGCCGCATAGTCCGCAGGTCCATTGCGACGGTCTGTGCTGGTGTTTGGCCCTCTGCTGCGGCCGGAAAATGTCTCGGCTCTCGTGGAACGGGCACTCGAGCGGCAGCTCTACCTGATACTTCTTCAGGATGGGCATCCATCTCTGAAATCTCGACAGAGCTGAATGGATCGTCTGGCCAGCGGGGGAGAATCCCGAGCCAGCGTCGCGTCTTTCTTTTTTTTCTGACTAAGCTAAGCACCGCCCGGATCGCACCGGGCCGCATCTCTCTACCGCAAAACTAATAATGCACACGCTGGTGGTCTTTACGCGGCGATTGTCTAGAGAAAGGTGATAGTAATTGGGCTGTTACCTTCTGGACTATCCTTCTCACCACGGACGCTCGATCGCGGGGGCATGATATTTTAAAGACGCTGGGTCCTGGCCAGGGGATTACGGACAAGAGTAACACTATCAATACCTACGAACGTAAAAGAGCACGTTCACACAAGTTTGCCAGCTCCGCGTAGACGGTGGTGATGGTTTTGTCGAGGGGGTGAGGAATGATAAGAGTATCATGACGGTCCCTGTCCGATGGTTTTCTGTTTCTTTTTTTTTTCGTTCTTTTTTTTTCGTTTTTGATCGTCGATTCGATCGACTCTCTCGGTTCTGCGATTCCGAGGTGTCGGAACAGAGAAACGTGGGTGCCCGTGGCCACGCACGTTCGTCGAAGCCGTGGAGACGTACGTCGTCGGGTCCCGTAAATGCGTCGTTTGGAATCTATTGTCCTAGATTTCGCGTGACGTATTACGGTCGTGTCGCGACCGGGTTCTCGCGCGATCCACGGGCATCACGCGATTGCTGATTATGCGAACGGCACACGGACCCGTTTGTTCGAAGGTGGACAACGACGGTGTCGAGAGAGAGAATTAGTTCAAAAAAAGATGATAGAAACGGAGAGAGAGAGAGAAAGAAAGATAGATAGAGAGAGATAGAGATAGAGAGACAGACAGAGAGAGAGAGAGAGAGAGAGAGAAAGAGAGAGAGAGAGAATGTATATTCACGCACTCGGATTACTTTCGTCATCGTTCCGCAGCTCTCACGGGGGGCTCCCTGATAAATCGATCGTTCGACGTCCGTCCGATCTCGACGGGGCCAAGAAAAAATTGATTCGCAATGACGCAATCCCGGCGACGTGACGAAAGATGACCATTCTGGCGCATCGGTTGACCACACTCAGCCACCCGTCAAAACCGTTCCCCGTTAATTACCTCGAGATGAAAGGGTTGGGTCTTCATTCATAGCCCGGGTACTCCTCGCGAGTGCGACCAGCCCGCGACGGTATCACCGGCACAACGGCTGCGAAAATTTTTCTCTCACCGGGCCTATGTTTTGCCTCCGCGAAATCCGTCCCGTTCTCTATTCACGGTCAACTGGGAACGTATCGGGGGTTGCGGCGTGCACCGACTATAGGGGTGGACGTCGACATGGCGGCGTAGTAACCCTCCGCGCAGGGCTGCACCCGCCGGGGGCGCTCCCGACGGCAACGAATCAACAAATTTCTCCCGAGGCACCCGCAACACGCTCTTCGTCGTTTCGCTCTTGTCCAATCGAATCGCATAATCGTGATCGCGCTCGGTTCGGCACACGGAACCGGAAAACCGCAGACGCGATCGTCGTCCGTTTACAAACGATGCAATTGGAGCCGATTTGGTGTGCATAGGACCTCGCATTGGTTGATCACGTTCTAATCATCTGCGCGGCAGTTGATTATCTTATCTTTAACGTCCTATTTATAAGCCGCTGCGCATCCTTGTTATGCAACGACGGGGACAAAGTAGAACCGTTGCGTACCTAATTGTTGTTTCGTCTCGATAAGTAAGGGTTGCGATGTCGTTCTTGCGGATAGAGTACGATCGAAAGTTGCCGCTCTTCGGGGCAACTCTTTCTGTAAGAAAAATCGAGGGAAAACTTTGGAAGCATTGCGCCGTGGTGTACGGTTATTACGATTGTTTAAATAACCGTGACTTCGACATTTTTTAAATAAGAAATTCACGGTTCTTCGTACGGTCCTGGACGAAACGGAGGTCGTCGGAGTCGGCGTCAATGACGGCGCGCCGACGCAACGACGACTCGGCAACGTGCCGAGCGCAGTCGTTCGGGTTAAATGCGTACCGCGATGGAAAACGGGAGAAAACGTTGCATGCTCGATCCAGGCTCGATCGAGACTGCGACCAGTCGAAAATGCAATCGTTTCTTCGCGTTTATGTCTCTCTGCTTTCCCACCAAAAATAGTCTTCGCCGAGCATCGGCCGCGATTCTCATCTCGGCGACGAGAAACGTCCGAGCGAACGTGCACGGAATCTGTAGAAAAGTATTCCGTTGCTAGGTTCGTTAGATAAATTGTTCTTATTCGCTCGTGTCTTTGTTGACGATGCATTGGATCGGTGAGTTACAGATGGCGAGATATCGGTAGAATTTTCTGAAATACTAATCTTGGTGTTCTGATTCAATGCTTTCGTTTGTTTAGTAAATCAGGGGACGATGTTTCTTTTGTACAAAGATAGCCGCAGGCAATGATATCATTATTACAGAGATAATTGTACGTATTTGAGATAAGAATGCACACATATGGCGACATAAATGCCAGAGGCACGTCGCGCTACCGTAACATCGCGCATAAATCATTAATCTCGTTTGTGTAATTTCTGAAACACTGAAAAGAAATGATTACCGTCTTAATTGCATACAAAGAATAATACGTGCTTATCTTCCATTGTGTCCAGACTTACGATTACCTCCGATTTCGGACGAATCAGCGTGAAAATCTTTTCATAATCATCGAACATCTCAGAGTCCAATTTTCAAGAATACACAGTTCACAGACAACTACGCAGAGACTTGGATTAACATTTGGACACCACTTGAAACCTTCTTCAAACCGAATGTTTCCGACTCGAATCTTTTTGGAAATGTTAGAGGACACATTGGCTAAAATACTTTCTCTTAATTTTGCTATTACTTTGTATGACAAACAAATATCGGGTTTTCTAACTTTAATAATTTTTTTAAAATTTATCTTTTAATAGTTTTCTAACTTTCTCGTCCGAGCCTATAACAATAGTTGAAAAAAATGCTTTTCGCGGATCTCGGTAATTTATACGCATTCCGAACATTTTATTTATTCATTATTATTAAATAAATTAATACCGTCCACGCTGTACACGAAAGCAACTGTTCCTTCCTCTAGGAAAACTTCCATTCGATTCGATCGACAGCTAATTAAAAACCGCGATAAACAGTTGTTTATTGCAAACACACGCTCTATCGCGAGTTAATTTACGCGACTTTTCAAGCACTTAGCGCTTGACTTTCGCAGCGTTACTAGCGTGTTTTTTTTCTTCGCGTCTGGAACTAGCCTGCATCATCGGGTCACGGCAGTGGTCAGTAGGTGCTTTAATCGAGGATCGCACTTCCTTTCCGATATTTATAGATCACCGGCGTAAATGGTCGGCTGGCCGAGGTTCGTCGCTGTCGTCGGGGTGCATCGTCTTGTCGACGAACGATAACCGCCGCGTTCCGTTCTCTCGGCGAGACGGAGAGATTTCGTGGTCGGCTGCCGAGAGGGCGGACGTTTCCTTGGCTGACCTCGATTATTGCTTCGAGAGACAGTCGACGATCCCCGCGATGCCTTCGTCGGGGATGACTGCCTTTCTTCACGACCGAGCCGCCAGCCGAGGCAAACATTGTATCGATTATGTAATCCGAGGAACGAAATCCGCACGATTCAATTACGTAACTTGCAACTGCGACTATTAAGTTGCAACGAGCGTCGTAGTCGGATCGCTGAAATTCTGGTTTTCTCGCTGGAAATCGCTACGAACCGGAAATACAAATTGCTATCTGGCTGCGGCAACTGATCTGTGCCTTTTGTAAACGCAACAACTTTCTCAGAACTGGATCGAATGGTTGAATATTTTTTCTCTTTTACTTGATATACGACCGAAGTACGTTTTTTAAATTTTCCTATCGCTTGGAATAACAGAAAGAACAGAAAAGAGATCCACGTGTTTCAATGATTTTATCTATATAAAATGTAGCAGTATAATGAAACAGGAAATCGTGAGAGAAAAACCGACTCATTTTCATCATAAGACGAGTCATCATAAGACGAGTGAGTCATAAGACGGCTTTGTACGAAGTAACATTTTATATGAGGACAGTATTCATCATCTTGATAGTATTTAGTGAAATAGTGAAGGAGTGAGGCGCATTTTCGTATAGAACTTCTTCCCGAGCAATAAAAACTGTCAATTTGACTCTGCATTCGTCTCGCGCGACCATCGAAAACTATTCGTTTGTGCACAGTGTTAAAGTAAAGTTACAATAATTTCTCCCTAATTTAATAGTTAATAATCGTCATTTTTAGTTAATATATTTAGTTAAATCGTCGATAGTTAATAATTTTATAGCTACCGATCGTCAACAACTATAAAAACGAGATGCATTGCACGTATTGTGCTGCCAAAGTGCACGTGGTGTGCGGTGGAGAAGAGTTTAGGCAGAGTCGTTGCATTTACCGATGTTTACTTCATTCTCCCGGAAAGTACAAATTTGTCGTCTTAAATACTATTTTCCGATGCTTTGGAACAACCAATCGGATGCAAGGATTGCTGTGATTGGCGCGCTGCTGTCACAGTTTTCGCAGATACGGAGGGTGGTTAGGGGGTTCGCTATCGCTGGGACCACCCTGATTATAGTACGATGCGACGAGTCCCCCCCGCGTGAACGTCCCTTTTTTTATGGCGGCAATTAGGATACGTCGCGCAGTCACAGGGTACTTAAGCAATAAAACTTTCGCCTTTTCACACATTAAAACAATTTCGTTCCTTCGGGCCTTTTACCTGAGTACGGAAGATAGCCGGGACAACTGTCCAGCCTTGTAATGAGACTGAACAAATGCTTTTGAATAAATATTTATTTAAAATAATTATCCTATAGAATTCATTTTAGTTGAACATTTTACGAAATATGAATAACGATTTGTCATTCTACGTTGATAATTGTACTATCTATTCGAATGATTCTACATATATTTGAAGTAATTATTTACACAATTCAGATATAGGTTATTCAAATGTTTGGTAGATTATTCGAACTATTTTTGAGATTATTATGCGAGTAATTATTCGCTGCTTTTGTCTTTACGTTATTTTATCAGCGAAAGTTGCCGATGCAGCATTTGAAAAACGGTAATTGCAGGAATTAACGTGGGGAAAAATTAATCAATGAACACCGTTTCAAGTTCTATCATTTTTATTCGAAAAGATTCTTTTCCGTATGAATTTCTGTACGAATGAATTTTTAGTCGAATAAAAACCTTTTCGAACGAATTCTTATTCGAATAAAAACCTCTTCGAATAAATTCTTATTCGAATAAAAACCTCTTCGACTGGATATTTATTCACTAGTGTCGAATCAAATCGTATCCGTCAGTCTTTTCGTCTCATCCATCATCCGAATAAAAATTTGCCCACATCTACCCCCATTAATCATGGAACTTTTTACCAAACAACAATCACCTGAAATCTTCGCATTCACGGCGACGAGCCACAATAGGACGAAGAGACGAAGTTGCGTAAAAATCCAAGAACTTTTCATAGAAATGAGACAGAGCGACGATCTTTTTTCGTTAAAGCCGAAATGTTACAAAAAAAAGAAAAAAATAGGGAGAATTTCATAAACAAGATATCCAATCGTATTTGCTAAATGACGATCCGAAATACTTCAAGTTTACCGTAAATTTTCAAGGCTAAGAAATGTTCATACCCCTTTCCCTCTACCTTCCCTTATTCTGAAATATTTCAGCTTCAATTAAAAAAAAGAAACAAATCATCGCTTTATCACATTTTTATCAAAAGTTCTTCGATTTTGGCACAACCGCGTCACTCGACCCCAGTGTACGGCCTTGCCAGCGTATCGAAGAATCAACAGGGTGGTGGTATTTTGGTGAAATTTCCATATCGCTCGGGATTGTAAAATTCTTTGTTTGCTAGAGGATTATAAAGTACACGCCTCTTACCCGAGCGACCTGTTCGGTCGGCTCGGCGAATGTTCCAAGGCCAAGAAATATTCATACCCCTTTCCCTCTATTTCCCCTTAATCTAAAATATTTCACCTTTAATTAAAAAAAAGAAACAAATCATCGCTTTATCACATTTTTATCAAAAGTTCTTCGATTTTGGCACAACCGCGTCACTCGACCCCAGTGTACGGCCTTGCCAGCGTATCGAGGAATCAACAGGGTGGTGGTATTTTGGTGAAATTTCCATATCTCTCTCTCTCGCTCGGAATTGTAAAATTCTTCGTTCGCTAGAGGATTATAAAGTACACGCCTCTTACCCGAGCGACCTGTTCGGTCGGCTCGGCGAACGTTCCAAGGCCAAGAAATATTCATACCCCTTTCCCTCTATTTCCCCTTAATCTAAAATATTTCAGCTTTAATTAAAAAAAAGAAAAGAAATCATCGCTTTATCACATTTTTATCAAAGGTTCTTCGATTTTGGCACAACCGCGTCACTCGACCCCAGTGTACGGCCTTGCCAGCGTATCGAGGAATCGACAGGGCGGTGGTATTTTGGTGAAATTTCCATATCTCTCTCACTCGGGATTGTAAAATTCTTCGTTCGCTAGAGGATTATAAAGTACACGCCTCTTACCCGAGCGACTCGTTCGGTCGGCTCGGCGAACGTTGGAAGGGGAATGGCACGGCGTAGTAGAAGTTTGACTGGTTCGCCGGAGTATCCCGTAGTCTGTCACTGAAAACAGCCGTGGTAGTCGCACGCAGTTTCCCATCCACGGTGTTGGCCGGTCTCTCTCTCTCAGTGTTCTCGCAGAGGCTACACCGTGCCGGTCGCATATCGATCTCTCCGAACGACAACAAACGGACGAGTCACGGTGGCCCGGGGTCAACGTCTCCGGTACCAAAGATCTCTGTCTCACTCAGTGCCGTTCTTCGAAACTCGCCGCAGGGCTCTCACGGTCTTCCTCGATTCACGTTGTTCGGGACCAGTGCGAACCGAGGTGGGAACCGATTCCAAGAGGCTGCAGGTTGACAGCCGAGACACAGGTAAGCTTTCTCCTCGTTATCCCGGGCATTTTCCTAGCGCGCGGACCGGTCCCGGCCCGAGTCCCTTCGGGATGCCCGGGTGCAACAGGTTATTCATGAGCGGGGATCGATCGGGAAGAATGAAATCTCGCCGACTTCCACGCCGTCCCTCGCTTCGCATTTAAATGCAAATTGCTGGGAAAAATTTCGGGATAGCCCGGCCCTTTGTTGTGATCCTAGAGATGTTAGAATTAAATCGTGGCGTACGGTCGTTTGTCGCGGTGTCCAATTTCTAAAAATCGGTATGGGAATCGTTCGTGTACGCTTCGATTTACGTGGACAGGTTCTGCATCCGTGGTAGCGGTTGTTTGATTTTGTTTTACTCCGTATGCGAGTTATTAAGCGGTGGAAAGATGTGGCTCCTTTTATTTATAAAAATCGGTATCGAATATAGGCGTTCGTGCTTCGATCGCATCGTGACGTGAACAGGTTCTGTATCCATGATAGTGATTGCTCGAATTCATGCTCGTTCCATATGAGAGTTATTAAAGAATTTGCGGAAAGATGTGTGGCTCTTCTTAATTAAATATATATATTAAATATATTATATATTATAAATATCATTAATTGAATATAGGCTTTCATTCGTGGTAGTGGTTGCTTGATTGTATGCTCATTCCGTATGCGAGTTATTGAACAATCTGTAGAAAGATGTGGCTCCTTGTAATTATGAAAATTGGTATTGTATTTACGCGCTCGTAAATTTGTCCGCTTAATTTCATGCTCGTTTCAGATGCTAAAGAACATTTGGTGAAAAAACGTGGCTTTTTATTGTTACAAAAATCGGTATCGATTTAATGCGTTCATTCTCCGATCGCATCGTGACGTGGATAGGTCCTACATTCTCGATTAGTGTTCCGTTATTATCGTCCTCCTTTTTTGTCCGAGTAATGGAACCGAGCTGGAAAATATTAGCTGTGCAGAAATGTGTACTCCGATTCATAACACGTGTTTAGACTTGCATACTGTACATAAAATTTGACTTCGAAATGTTCTTCTCCCGAAGATGACGAGCAACAGATGCGAACGACCAGAGAAAAGTCAGCGGATAGATATGTTTGCCTGTCGATGAAATGAGTTTCGAAGTTTCGCGTTCACGTTCTGCATGCATCGTGACGCGGACAGTGTGATTGACGACGAAGGTAAGCCGATACGATAATTGTAGAATGCACTCGTGAACGCTGCAAATATTTTATCGTTCTCGA